CCCAGAGGAGCATATGGAAGGATAACTGGGACTGGAGGAGTAGAATGCCTGCTCAAAGAGCAGCCCAATAGAGTAAGAAGGAAGGGCAGGATGGAACTGAAAATCTTCCACCCTGGAATGTCTTTCTCAGTATCCAATCAATCTAAGTTTCTATCTGGATTCTTTTTTGTGTTTTTTTTTTGTCGGTTGTGGGCCTGAACTCTGGGCCTGGGCACTGTCCCTCAGCTCTTCAGCTCAAGGTTAGCCCTCTACCACTTGAGCCACAGTGCCACTTGCAGCTTTTTCTGCTTATGTGGCACTGAAGAATCGAACCCAGGGCCTCATGCATGCAAGGCAAGCGCTCTACCACTGAGCCACCTTCCCAGATCTCTATCTGGATTCTTGTGACCAGCGGCAGGAAGAGTCCTTGTCTTCACTGTTTTCAGTATAGAAGCTCCCTGTGCAGAGCTGGATTGAGCCCCAGGAGCATAACCCACCCACATACCTGTGTGGAGGCAAAGGACAACATGATGCCTGGCCTTAGAGAGATCAGCAACTATCAGGAACTGAAATGCAGTCCCTTAGGACTCTGGACAAACAATAAGGCAGGAAAATACTTGGGGTTTGGGGGAGGGTGTCCGCTGGCCAGCACTGAGATCTGGGCTGCAGGTGGCTAAGGCTACCATCTCTGGCCTTATAATGGCTAGGAAACTCTCAGATTTTCCATTATTGCCCATTTTCAGATATTTGCTGCTATTGTCAAACTATATACTCAACAACTGGTTCTGGTCATCACTGGAAAACAGGCAATGTGCCCAGGCCCCTTCACCCACCACAAAGAGAAACATTTTTTTTTTTAAGTGTGTGATGGTAACACTGAATTATGTGTCATTACTGAATGTTACAGCACAAGCTTGGAAAAAGGGAAGGCAAGCAAGAAGGGATAGGAAGCCCTCCCAAACCAGCAGACCTGCTTCTGCCTCTGGTTTTCGGGGTGAGGCCTGATTCTGCCTCTGGTTTTCAAGGTGTTCCAGGAAGTTTGAATAAACAAACCAACTTCCATAACAGAGGCTTCCCCAATCTCACCTGGAGATTAGGGAGAAAGCAAGGCTTGAGGGTACCACAGTGTACGAGCAGCAAACGACCAGCAGGGGAACTTCGCTCAGTCATCCCAGTTGTGGTGAGCCCACTTCCTCCCTCCAGAAAAGTACAGGACTCAAATGCTTTGCACAGCAAGAAGGGAGAGAGGTGACCACAGCCACCAGTATGTGTTGCCATTGCTGGCCCTGGCCTGGTCTCAGGCCCTAGAAGGGGCCAGCCCAAGGCATTTAGTGGACAACTCTATGGAACTTACTGACCTGGGGGAAGGGTGGGCCACAGAGAAAAATGTATCCGGATAAATCCAGGAACCCAGCAAACATCCTCCCAGTCACCAAGGTACCTCCCATAGATAATGGGGATGCCATTCAGGGCTTTTCCTAGACCCTTTGACCACCAGCTCTGTGTCTACCTCCTGCTGAGCCCCAACTCTTCCCTGCATCCACTTTGTTCTGGGACACCTCTCCCATTGTTCCTCCTGGCTCAGCCACATGTGGTGACTCCTCCTTTCTACAATTAGCCAGTTCTCAAATAAGAACCATCCACACCCTTCCTGTTCCCCCTGTCTCAAATATGTGGTTAATCTAGCTCCCCACACCAAATCATAAAAGTACCTAAATACTACCCACTATACCCATTCAGATCTTCAACCATGAATCAGAAAGGAACCCTGGGATTTTGGGAACACTGTAACGGACTCAAGAACTGAAAGTTCTTATGTCTTCTGTCCTACAGAAAAGTCTACACAGCAAGCCTGCTCTCTAATGGCAGGTTTTCTGTGCTTGCTGCCCAGGTCTGAAACTGGCTTAAGAGTGGGCAGGGCTCCTCCTTTCTCTATGGGGGCTGGAGGAAAAACTGCTTAGCCTTTATCAGAACTATGGTTGTTAACCCCACTGCAAGGTAGGTCTCTGGGAGTGCCAGAGTTAATGTGGACTCTGGCTGTAGGCTTTGGGTAGCAGGAATCTGAGCACATGAAAGACTAGTAATGAGTGCCTGCCAGTTACAGTGGAAAAGGCAAAGAATAAACTACTCCACTGCTGTGCCTACAAGAAAAGGGCACAAGGCAGAGGAAGCAGGAGGAATAGCCTACTCACTCGAATAGCAAACACTGGGGAGAGGTCTACAATCCATCCATTTTGATACTTACCGTTTTCAGTGGACTGGGGCTGTATCTCAGTGGTAAGACCCTTGTGTACCCTGGGTTCCATCTCAACAAAATCTTTCAAGGACTTCCATAGATGCTGTTTCCCCTTTCTTCATACTCCCTCCATCTCCCCTAAACACTCTCCTCCATCTCCATTATCTGTGCGTAATTTCCCAGTGCTCAGAAAGGAAGGAACATGCTACTTAAGGAGATAGCAGGAGATACTCAGGCCTTCTCAGTGTTGCAGGGTTCAAGAAGGTGGCTTATGCCAGGCCAGGGCCTCAAGCAGGAATCTGAACAAAGCCCAAACCTAGAAGCAGAAATTTCCCAGAAGACCAGGAATGAAAGATGGGCAGAGCACATATTTTGGTTTGGATGCCTACACTGATCAGAATTCTCCCACCTCCTGCCTGCAGCCACAATATTGACAGGTTGCTAAGAGTTCCTCGAGGGCTGGAGTCTATCCCAAGGAAAGAGGAAAGCTGGATGGCTGGGCCTTGCCAGACCCATGGAGGCGCATCGCTGACCTCCGTCTTGCTGTGGCAAGAAGCCCAGACTTGTTATATAAAAGATCTGGCCTGCAGCTGGAGGCTGAGCAAAAAACACGCAGCTTAGAGCCTATGCCTTTCCAACCAGCCAGGGAATGTCGGAAGCCAACCCTGCCTTGGGTTGACAAAGAGCTAACAGAGGAGAGGGACAGGGACTGGGGGGCTTCCTAGAAGGCTGTAGCCAGAAATGCCTCGGCCAAAGTGGGATGTTAAGTTCACACACCTGAAACCACCTTAAGCCCTGCTCCTCCAGGAGACCCTCTTAGAGTAGGTACATCATCTAGCTTGAGAAGTCCCTCTGAAAGTCATGCCAAAAGTGGCACGTGCTCCCAGAGCTTGGGGTGGAGAAGCAAAGCCTTCTATTTTCCCTGCCTTGTCAAGGGAACACAGTGCTGGGGCTCCCAGGAACTCCATCTGCTACCTGCAGTGTGTTCTGCCTTAATCTGTTAATAGAGCTAATGAGGGCCCTTAATGTTAACTTGTTTTAAACTTCCTGTTTTAATTTCTATTGATTCAAGGTGGGGCATTCCCAGGAGAATCTTGCTTCTCTAAATTCTGTCAGACATTTGGCCCCATCTCATCCTTTGGCTGCATCTTCACTGGCCTTCACAGAACTGGAATCTAAACTCAGAGGCCAAATCTTGTCCTCATTTCCTTATTCTTCATTCCAACATACTAAGACCAGGCATAGGCATTCAAACACTCATTAATAACATTTGAAAATGGATCTCATTTTTAAAAAAAGAAAAATGAGAGAAAGAAAGAGAGAGAGAGAGAAGGAAGGAAGGAGGGAGGGAGGGAGGGAGGGAGGGAAGGAAGGGAAGAAGGAAAGGAAGGGAAGGGAAGGAAGGAACAGACTTGCTCAGAAGAGGAGGCAGAGTGAACTGCAGTAGGAAACATATCACCTGCCTTCCCATGACCTCAAAGTAGGCAGGGCAGGCACACTACACTCAGTGTTCAATTATCACTCAGAATGGAGGGCTGATGGCGAGGCCCAATGTTCTTTCCTTCCTGTCTCCACCTGTCCAAGCACAATTTAGGAATAAGCTTCAATTGCATCAAAAGGGAGCCTTGACTCTTATCAACTTAACTGCTAAAAATGTTCAAGTCCTGAATCAGATTAAGGAACATCTTTGTGGGCTGAGAAGGTGGCTCAGAGGTAGAGCGCTTGCCTTGCATGCATGAGGCCCTGGGTTCGATTCCTCAGCAGCACATCAGCAGAAAAAGCTGGAAGTGGCGCTGTGGCTCAAGTGGTAGAGCGCTAGCCTTGAGCTAAAGAGCTGAGGGATAGCGCCGAGGCCCAGAGTTCAGGCCCCAGGACCAACCAAAAAAAAAAAAAAAAAGAAAAGAAAAAACTTTGTGTGATTTCACAAATAAGATGACTTCTTGTTCAGACTAATACTATCTTACCCCAAAACTAACACATGGACTGGATGGTCCAAGATTCCTTCCAAGCTCAGAATTCTTAAGTGAGCCTGGCATTGGTGGCTCATACATGTGATCCTAGCTACTCAGGAGGCTAAGATCTGAGGATTACAGTTCAAGTCAGCTTGGGCAGGAAAGTCCATGAGACTCTTACCTCTAACCATCAGAAAACTGGAAGTAGCTCAAAGTGGTAGCCTTGAGCAAAAGAAACTCAGGACAGCACACAGACCCTGAGAGTTCGAGCCCCATGACCAAAAACGCAAAAAACCAAAAATTCTTAAGATGAGAAGAGCAAGTTAAATCAAATATTGAAGGGAGAGAAGAACCTGGTCTCCTGGAACCCTAGAAAGGGCTGTTGGCAAGGTATTGTGTGAGAGCTTCCTACTCCTGTTCCTCTATTGGGATCTATCCTGGGTCAGCATACTCACTGGACATTTCCTCCAGCTGTGTGGGGAATACAAACTCAAATGAATGCGGGCCTTAGTTTAATTTTAGCAAGGTCAATCTCCTCTTAAACCTAAATTCCAAAATCAGCTGTTGATTATCCACACATGAACCCTGAATGCCAAACTGAAAACCCCAGCAGCTTGATGCCTTTCCTCCACCAGGCAGGTGGAAGGCAAACTCATTTTCATCTAAATTTACGAAGAAAAACAAGCTGATAAACAGCAGGTGACAAAAGCTTCTATGTACAACCAAAACCCAGGACAAGTCATCTTGATGACGGAGAGTTGATGGGTGGGCCAAAGGCCTCCCAGCCCTCCCTCCCAATCCCTCCGGATCCCATTAGGAGAGAGCTGAGTTACCTGGGTGGCCTTGTCATTGGTACAGCAGGTGAAGGCCCCATCGGTATCCCGTGGCCACTGGCCCAGAAGGTAGGAAGTGAGGATGGTGTCCAGGGAGAATGTTCGTCGGACCTGGGGTGGCTGAGGCCTATACACTGACTTTTCTGGGGCCACCGAACATGGGACACTGGCTGAAAGAGAGCACAGCCGGCACGCCTTGACGTCAACATAAAGGAAGGAGATGTGGCAGCCAGCTTTCTCTCTTCTAGGAAACCTCTGGCTGCCACATCTTTACTTCCCTCCTGAGAGAATTTGAAGCAGCCTATAAAAACATATGCAGTCTAACAAAAGCTTTCCTGACCTAACTTTATCATTGGGAACAACTCATAGCATTTCAGTTTGAACTTACAGGTTTACTTTATACATGTATTCTATCTCGTTCCTGGTGTACGATAAACTGGGACTCCTAAGTCTGCTCACAGTTTCCTGAGAGTAGCACTGTTTCCCATCATAAAAAAGGGAACTCTATGTACATGGACAAAACCCAAACTTTCTTCCCTTTTATTTCCTGTCCTCTTCCCTCCTGCCAGCATCCACGGCAGGGCTGCTATATACAATTCTCACTCAATTAACTGAAGGATTGTTTGTATTTCCTTCAGGACTAGTTCACTCCAGGAAACCTGGGTGACTAGGTTGAGAACTGTATTAACTACTTTCAACAATCCACGACTGAGGAGTCCAGTTCAGGAAAACATCTAAGTGCCTTCTAGCTAAATGGGACAAAAATAATACAATTGTAAGTCCATTCATTTTATTTTACCTTGGTTGAAGATTTCAGAATGAAAACAAAAGCTCATACATTTGATAAAACTTAAGGACTCTGGGTCATCTGGAAGTTTCAGTGGTCCGGGGCTAAAACCCCAGCTTCCATAACCATATTCAAAACATTTCACTAATATAAGATCTCTAAAGGTTCTCTCCTTTAAACAGTACAAAATGCTTTCACCTCTGTAGTAATCCTTTGATAATTTATGTGTATATTAAGCACAGCAAAATGGACTGGGAACTGTAGGTATAAACAGACTTGAAGAACTTCATACTAAAAAGACACTAAAAGGTTGGCAGTTCCTCAAAAAGTTAAACTTAGAATAACTTAGGATCCAGCAATTCTATCTCTAGGTATATACCTTCCAGAAAAACGGAAAGCAAGGGCCTGAAAAGATATTTGTACACAGGTAATCATAGCAACATCAATCATGATAGGTAAAAAGTGGAGGCAGGGGCTGGGAAGATGGATCAGTGGTAGAGCGTTTGCCTTGCATGCATGAGGCTCTGGGTTCGATTCCTCAGCACCACATAAGAAAATAGAAAAAAGCCGGAAGTGGCTCTGTGGCTCAAGTGGTAGAGTGCTAGCCTTGAGCTGAAGAGCTGAGGGACAGTGCCCAGGCCCAGAGTTCAGGCCCCACTACCAGACCCCCCCCCAAAAAAAAAAAAAGTGGAGGCAACCTCAGATGATGCTAAGTAAAAATAAACTAGACACAAAAGCAAATGCTATCTATTCCACTTATAGTTCACTTCTATGAGGTACCTAGAATAGGCAGATTTCTAGGGAATAGGGATAAGGGCTCCCAGGGAGTGAGCAGAAGAAATGGGAGTTATTGTTTAATAGGTACATTTTCTGTTTCGGGGATAAAATAGTTTTGGAGCCAGTCGCTGGTAGCTCACAAGTGGCTGAGATTTGAGGGTCATGGTTTGAATCTAGCTCGTGCAAACAAATCCAAATAAAACAGTTATTTCCAATTAAACAGCAAGCCAAAAGTGGAGGTGGGGCCCAAGTGGCAAAGTGCCACCATAAGTGAAAAAAATCAAACAAGAACTCAAGGCCCAGAGTTCAAACCCCAGTACAGGCACAAAAAAAATCTGGAAAAGGTCAGTAGTGATGATCGTATGCATTATGAATGTATTTAATGCTACTGAATTGCAAACTGAAAATGCTTAAAAGTTTAAAATGATAAACTCTAGATTTTTTTTGTTATCACAGTAAAAAAAAGACAAATAATCATACACACTCCTCAAATTCAGCTAAACATATTAATGTATTATTTTGATATGCTTGTAATCAGTATAAAATATATATTATGTTCTGCTTTATTCTTCCCATTTCCTAATAACACATTACCAAGTTTTAACACCCCATTTTGGTTGTGTGTGTGGGTCCTGGGGCTTGAACTAGAGCCCAGGAACTATCCCGGAGCTCTGTTGCTTAAAGCTAGTGCTCTACCAGTTATAGCCAGAGCTCCACAACTGGCTTTTTGCTAATTAATTGGAGATAACAGTCTCATGGACTTTCCTGCCCAGGCTGGCTTCGAACTGTGACTCTCAGCCTGCTGACTAGCTAGGATTACAGGCATGAACCATCAGTACCTGGCTTCATTTCTGTTCATTTTTAAAGATTATGATATACCGGGCTGGGAAGGTGGCTCAGTGGTAGAGTGCTTGCCTTGCATGCCTGAGGCCCTGGGTTTGATTCCTCAGCACCACATAAGCAGAAAAAGCCAGAGTGGCACTGTGGCTCTAGTGGTAGGGTGCTAGCCTTGAGCTGAAGAGTTGAGGGACAGAGCCCAAGCCCACAGTTCAGGCCTCAATGACTGACAAAAAAAAAAAAAGAAAAAAGATTATGATATATTACCAACCTGTCATCTAAGTAATAATTTGTTTAGCCATTCCCATAATATTGGGCATTCAAGAGGACCCCTCTAGTTTGGATATCATAATATTTCTGTAAAGCTAACCTTACTCTCAATCTTTATATCTAAATCCCTGGCATAACTCTAGCTTATCTCCCTCAGCTATCAAATTTAAGTTAAAATAGTTACTTTATGCTTACATAAAAGAACTTTAAAAATGACTTATTTTAAAAAACAAAGAATTGACTTATAATTACAAAGTCAGTCAACTCCAATTGTAGAAAGTCCAGAAACATGAACAAAAAGAAAAACCCTCAAATCTCCATACTCAGGGATAATCACTGTTAATATTATGAGTTTTATGTACTTACTTTCTGTGGGTACATATACATATAATACTTCAAAATAAATGGGATCATACTGTACACATTATTTTGCCATGTTTTTACCTAGTATCAATACTCATTCCAAACCAAGCCGACTATAACACATCTTTTTTTTTTTTTTTTGAGATAGTGTCTTGTTAAGTCAGACCAAGCTGGCCTTAAACTCTAGATCCTCTTGTCTCTGCCTCCCTAGGGCTGTGAACCACCAGGCCTCCCAACGTGCTGTTTTAAGTGATCTTAACATTTCCATATTAAAACTCTTCAAAAAGTTCTTTCAAAGCCGGGCCTCAGTGGTTCACGCCTGTAATCCTAGCTACTCAGGAGGCTGAGATCTGAGAATCACAGTTCAAAGCCATCGGGGCAGGAAAGTCCTTGAGACTCTTATCTCCAATAAACCACTCAGAAAACCAGAAGTGGTGCTGTGGCTCAAGTGGTAGAGTACCTTGAGCTGAAGAGTTCAGGGTCAGTGCCCAAGCCCAGAGTTCAAGCTCCACAACCAACAACAAAAAAGTTCCTTCAAAGATTGGAGTCAAAGGACTTATGTTCTGTCCTCTTACTTTTCCTTTATGCATCACTTCTCTGGATGCTGGACAAAAGAACACTATGTATAATTTCCCATCACTGATCTGGGCCTTTCCTCCAAGGTTTGGCCCAGTGCTAAAACTGGAGCCATCTGTCAAGCCAGCTCAACTGCCTCTACCTCCACTCAACCAAGCCTCAGGATCCTGGGAATCCCCTGCAATGAGTGTCTATGAATTTTGTTTCCACATAATACATTGTACTCTTCCATGACATACCACCCTCTCTCTTGGTATTTGGGACTCCTAGATAATAAACAGCCCAAGGCTGAGACCTGGCTCTGTATCCCAAGTCTAGAGCATAAGGTTGGTAATTGTCAGGCACCCAAGGACATGAATAAAATTTAAAAAAATAATAATAATAGAAGGGTAAACCTGCCAGGTGCTGGGAGCTCACACCTGTAAGCCTAGCTACTCAGGAGACTGAGATCTGAAGATCATGGTTTGAAGCCAGCCTGAACCTCTTTTCTCCAATTATCCACCAGAAAACCAGAAATGGCACTGTGGCTCAAAATGGTAGAGCTCTAGCCTTGAGCAAAAGAGCACAGGGACAGCACGCAGCCCAGAGTTCAAGCCCCATGACCAATTAAAACAAACAACAAAAAAAGAATAAACCTCTAATTATACCCTGGATTCTGGTTTTCTAATTATACCCTAGATCCATGCTCAGCCTACTCACCTTGAGTAAAGACTCCATAGCTATTTGCCTTTTGTCCTCCTTTCTGAGGCTCTGCAGGGCTCAATCTCTTTCTTTCCTTCCCTGTGTCCTTGTCACCCAATGAGTTAGTAATAAGCCCACTAGTGCAACCCAACTTCATCTCCTACACCAGCATTTAAATCACTTTTTTTTTTTCTGTGCTGCATTTAACATTAAAAGTGGCAATCCAGGCTGGGAAGGTGGCTCAGTAGTAGAGGGCTTGCCTTGTATGCATGAGGCCCTGGGTTTGATTCCTCAGCACCACATAAGCAGAAAAAGTCAGAAGTGGTGCTGTGGCTTAAGGGGTAGAGCACTAGCCTTGAGTTGAAGAGCTGAGGGACAGCGCCCAGGCCCAGAGTTCAGGTCCCACGACCGACCCCCCCCCAAAAAAAGTGGCAATCCAAATTTCTAGGAGCTTCTGCCCATGTAAGAAGCCAGCTCAGACCCTGTGGGCTTCCGTCAAATCTATCCCTAAGAGTCCAGTGATGAGGCAGGTAGGACCTCTGGAAAGAAGCTTTGCAACATTACATAAAAGATAACCAAAGATGCAGGTGGCAAGCAGGTGAGCATACAGGCTAAAATATGATCCTAAGGGGCTACCTCATCCTTGTATCAAAGGAAAAAAATTGACTGCTGACTGCAGGGTGAAGAAATAAGCTATAGGGAGAAAGATCTCTGGGGCCCCCTACTTCTGTCCCCCAAGTCACTGTGATAATCTCCTTTAGTACTTTCAAGTTGGCCTCATCCCCACAAAGTACTTCATGCGATATAACTTTTTACTTTATTGTCAGCTCCAGAAAGGGTTAGGAAGAGACTGAGGAGGAAAACAAAGCATAGAGAATT